GCCGTGACCCCGCGCGGGCCGCGGCTGCTGCGCTGAAGCGGCGCGGGAAGCGCCAGCAGACCCTCGCCTTGCTGCGAGCGGGGTGTGACTTGAGCGAGGTACGCTCGCGCAGTGCAGGACCTGCTGAGGCATTACGGGGTGAGCCCTCAGGAGGTGCGTGTCCTGGGCGACGAGGCAGAGGATGCTGACAGCCTGGTCGCCAGCTATTTGGAGGCGATCTGGCAGAGCGGCGCGGGCATCGCGCTGGCGAACGACACCGTCGCTGGCGTGTGCTTCCTGCTGCCCAAGCTGCGGCGGAGGCTGGACCTGTCGTGGGCGCTGCTGAAGGCCTGGCGTCGAGCGGAGCCTGCAGAGCGGGCGCTGCCGCTCACGCCCGACATCGTCGCGGGCATGGCAGGCCTGGCGGCGGAGGCCGGAGCGTTCGACGTGAGTTGCCTGCTGCTCATCAGCTTCGAAGGCCTGCTGCGGGGTGGCGAGGCCTGTGCGTTGACGGCGGACGACGTTCTCGACCGAGGTGACTCAGTCGTGCTGCAGATCAGGACGTCTTAGGACCACAGCGGGCAGGGACGCTGCAGAGGCCGTCGTCATCCGGTCAGCAGTTGCCCAAGCAATGCTCAGGCTAGTCGTGCAGCAGCGGCCCGCAGGCGAAGCCCTGTCGTGGAGGTCGCCCGCCCAGCTCAGAAATGCGCTCGGGGCCCTCGCGCGCGGCCTGGGCCTTCCTGGGCGCTTATCATGACACTCTGCCCGACGAGGAGGCGCCTCCGATTTTTCCTGCGGTCGGCCTCCATGGAGGCCACGCTCGTCAAGGGCAGGTGGGCCAGCAGCATGACGGCCCGCATCTACATCGAGGGTGCGGTGGCAGACTTCGTGCGTGTGCGGACCGCGGACCAGGCTGCCGCCGCTCTTTTACATGGCTTGCGTTTGTTACGAGCATTCTTAGAATTGTAAAAACTCATGTTTGTTGTATATACTCACGAGCTTCGCTCTGGCAGTGATCTCGTAGTTCACAATTCGAAAGCAGATTAATGTACTGCAAATGAGGTGGGGGGCGGAGAGTTTAACAACATTTTCGCTGCTCGTAAGCCACGAGGGGGTGGAGTTGGTATAGCGTGTTTTCCCTGCTTTTGCGGTGCCGCGGACTGGGGTTCAGTGGGACCTGGGTCTTGAAATGTTTTTTTTCTGTCGTGAAGTTGGCCCGTGAAGCCCAGAGTGAAGCCAGTGTGGACTGCCACGTTTGGTTGCTCTGGCTGCGGGGGTCTTGCTCTTGGCTTGGCGCAGCTGCGGGGGAAGGGGGCGTCGGGCGGTTCGCGGCGAACCTCAGTCTGAGGGGGAAACTGGGCTATTAGACGATTGGCGTGGACACGTGCAGTAAAGCTGTATGTCCGTATATTGGCTTTTCTGGTCATACCTTTTGGTGCGTGTATCCCCTACGCCGTCAACCCTCCGCTCCAGAGCTGTTCTGGTTCCCGACCCTCTCACCACCCACGAGAATGATCTCTTGTAGAGGCTAGCCGGCTCAATGCTTGCCTGAGGTGCCGTAGCCCATCAGGTATAGCGTGTTTTCCCCGTTTTTGCGGTGCCGCGGATTGGGGTTCAGTGGGACCTGGGTCCTGAAACGCCCCTCCCTGTCGTGACGTTGGCCCGTGAAGCCCAGAATGAAGCCAGTGTGGACTGCCACGCTTGGTTGCTCTGGCTGCGGGGGTCTTGCTCATGGCTTGGCGCAGCTGCGGGGGAAGGGGGCGTCGGGCGGTTCGCGGCGAACCGCAGTTTGAGGGGGAAATTGAAGACCATTTGCGTGGACATGTGAAGTAAAACTGTATAAATATGTGTATATATATACATATAGTATGGGTACATAATTTATACATATGTATATATGTGCATATACACATACAGTATATGTTTAACTATGTATATACACGTATGTCACATCGACGATGCCTGTGGTGTCATGTCTCGTTCAGCTTTGTTGCCGTCGATCGCAAACTCCTGCGATACGAGAGTTCTGCTTTGCGCAAGGTCTGCCGGCTACACCCTGATTCATTGAAGCTGGCCGGTTTCAACTCCCCCCTCTCGTGGGGAAAAGCGGCCCCCCCGTCCATCGCCACCTACAGTGCCGCCGCTGTCTGGCGATTTTGCTTTTCCACGATTGACGGGATGTGGCGTCCTCGGCGGAATGCACTGTCGGAAACTGCGCAGTTGCATGGCCCCTAACCCGATGGTGCCGTGGATTCTTGAGTCCGTCTTTCTGACACCAACAGCAGAGCATCGTTGAGATGTACCCACTGCTCATTTCTAATTATTCGAGAGTTCTTTGATT